TATGTTGGGATTCCATCATGTTCCTGAGCTCCTCTCTAGATTTATTAATCATGTCTTGCACTAGGAGCACAATTTCTCCTGTTATCTGAGAAATTATTTCTGAGTTGATTTTTTCCAGATCCCCTCTTGTTGCCAGTTCAGTGGGTCCAGGTGGTTGAGTATCCGAGTGTTCCATCTCATTTTCCTTTGGGGTTGCTGTAGGTGATCTGGAAGTCTGGTTTTGAGACTTATTTGTTTTCTCACTTCAACTGGGGGGCAGCTGTTGGCGCCTGCATGGATTACCTCCTCTGAGCTGGGAGAGGTGGGACAGGGGCCAGGAGGCGTGGTAGGGATGGTGGCCCAAAAGTCCTTTCCTGTGGGCTGGGAGCAGGAGGAGGGATGGTGGCTGGGAAGCCCCTTCCTCTGGTCCAGAAGCAGTGGGATGGCGGCTCAGAAGGCCCTACCTCTGGGTTGGGAGCAGTGGGAGGGATGGTGGCCTGGAAGCCCCTTCCTGTAGGCCAGGAGCAGCGGGACAGAAGGTGGCCCAAAAGCCCTATCCTCTGGTCTGGAAGCAGCGGGTGGGGATGGTGGCTGGGAAGCCCCTTCTTCTGGACCAGGAGCAGTGCGACGGTGGCTCAGAAGCCCATACCTCTGGGCTGGGAGCAGCAGGACTCAGTACCGTGGTCTGGTGGTCCGGTTTCCTCTGCGTCTTTGTAGTGTGTAACCAGGTGGCTGTATAGAGGAGCGGGGGTGGGGTCCAGTTCTCAGAAAAATCTTAATAAAAGAGTATAGCAGAAAAAAAATCTCAATATTAAAAGGTTCACTATTTTTGGCGAAGCATGGCAGCACACACCTGTAATCCCAGCACTTGGGAGGCTGAGGCAAGAGGATTGCCACAAGTTTGAGGCCTGCCTGGGCTATATAGTGAGTTCAAGGCTGGCCTGAACTACATAGCAAGACCCTGTCTCAAAAAACAAAAAAAGTTTCATTATTTTTATATAATGTTAAATCACATTAATATTGTATACAGGATTTTAAGTCTACAGGTAATAAGTAGCAATTAACAGAAGTCAGTCATTTAGACAAGTAGAGCTTTTTTCCTTGGCTTCTTTTAAAAAATGTCTTCTGTAATATTTATACTCACTTTATGAAATATGTATATAATTATTTAAAATTAAATAACTTACTTATACTAAGGTGATTTAAATTGGCATACGTCTAGAGCCTCAGTTTGTATAAAAGGTAGTACTTAATGCCCTTATTTAAATAACAATAGATCAATTAAAATTTATGTATTTTGCTGGTATAAAAGAAAAATATTGAATCAGAAATAGTTCTTACCAGAAGATAACTGGGGGAAGGCTATATAAATTGAGTAACCTTTATTTTGGAGTCAACTCAACTTTCTTTTTTTAAAATGCCTGAACTTGTCAAACTTCAACATGCTATAGGATTGCACGTTCCCATAACACATAAGTTTTTTAAATAAAAATGAAGATTGCCAAACCCCAGTCTATATGGATTAGAGCTCTGATATGTCCATTTTAAAATTACTCCAGAAAACAATGAGGTGATACATGTAGGGTCATGCATTTTGTACATTTCTAGAGCTCTACAAAAAAAAAATTCTGGGTAACCTTTCTAAATTTCTAGTTCCTTATAGTTTATATCCCTTTGCTATCCATTATCTCATTTACTTTTTAATAACAACAGAAAGATAGGAAGGTCATTGTGAACAATTGGAACAAATGAAGACGTTGATATCTTCATTTTAAAAACAATAACTTAAGATTTGAGGAGAATAAATGTCTGGGAACATTTGGTTTTCAGTCTAGGAAAGTACAGCAATATTTACTCATTCTCATAACAAATATTTGAGTACCTGCTTTTGTGGCAGGTACTCTACATTTTGTTTACTATTATTGGATATATAGGTAAAATAGAATTCCCTTTCTCATGCTGATTATGTTGTGGTAGTGGTAGACAAATATTGGCAGCAGAGTTAATAATAGATAAATAAGTAAATAATAAAACTAGCATTCAGCCCAATACTGTCTACTCAAGGTAACCAGAAACTCAGATACTGCATTTTACAAAAATTATAAAATGAACTTTGAATCAAATAGGCTCTCCATTTAGCCAATTTAACATAGAATGAAGTGATATATAAGGACAACACTTCATTTCTTTAGGCATATGAGATTTAAGTCTGACAAAACAATACTTTGCAAACATACAGTCATTTTTCACTGCGGCACCAAAGCCATACTATATACACACAGCTAATTCTACACACATACGTTTTAATGCCTTTGTGGCCACATTGAGTCATGGATTCTACATTATTCCGTCTGTTCTGTAGATGGTGCTACAGATCCAACAATGATCCTCAGCTCTTCAGTTTCCTTCACTGTCTAGCTCAGCTAAGTGTCACGCTGGACTCTGAAAATCACATTCATTCTAAAGGAAAAAGTCACTAATATGAGAAAATGAAAAAATGGAAAGAAAGTCTTTGTAAACAGGGAGGGATGGAAGAAGGGCAGGGGAATGGGGAAAAAATAGGAACCAAGATAGGTCATGTAAAGGTACAAATTTCCAATGATGAATGTCATATTGTATACCTAAAATGTACCAATAAAATCAATTTTAAAAAATCACTTCGCAGTGGCAACCTTCTCATTGCAAGACACAGTTCTAATGTGTAACTTAATTAAAATTTTCTTTACAATATATTAGGTCCCTCATGGGGTAAATTGCTGAAATAATTCTTTATTTCCCTAGTATCTATTTTAGTTTCCAAGGTAGTGTAAAGTCTGTTACTAAAGTGGAAAAATATTTCATTAATAAAATGACACCTAATAAATCATTTCTGAGGGGTTCTTGGTCTGATGCAACCAATGGAATGATTTCTATGACATTTAAATTTCACTTCTTAACACAGGAAGGTAAGTAAAACTCTATGGGGAGGCAGGTTCACTGTCTCCTAAAGGTAAAGGATGAAAGGGTAAAGAGAGAAGCCTTGTACAGCAGCAGTCAGACCACAATGCCATGGAGGGCGAGCCTGTCTTCCTGAGCCAGAGCAAGAACCTCTGTAGGTCAGGTAATATATTTAAGATAAAGGTCAGGGCTTCTATTCCTGAAACTCAGACTTCATTTTCATGCTGATTGATTGACTTATTAACTTTTTTTCAGGGGTCACTAATGGCTAATGTAATGCAACTGTAGAAGGAGAAACAAGTAGTTCAATCCAAACCACAGAACCAGATTACTATCTTTTCCCATATAGTTGAGAAACAATTCTGGCAAAAGTACTAGCCAAGTAAAAAGTCACAGTTGATAGATATTCAACAGCATGTTCATTAGAGTGGGCTTTCCTTCTCTTAAAACACAGTTGGGCATGCAAGACAAGAAGTTCATTATGGCTACTGAAATGATGAATTATAAATTATGGCCACTTTAAGATGAAGTTTCTCAATGAAGAAAATTTTTTCTTGGCCTAATGTGCTAAAAAAAAAAAAAAAAAGAAACAAAACAACAACGATAACAAAAAACCCACAGTCCCCTTGCAGTCTTGTGCCCTCTTGGCTATTTAGGCTCTATACTGGTGATGGCGAACCTTTTAGAGCCTTTTGGAGCTTTCAACGATAACGAACAGCTGGCTGTGGCACACACGCCATAGGTTGGCCACCACTGATCTACACCTTAGGAGATGCTTTGCTGAACTCTTTGTAGCTGAAGGTCACCCAGGCCCCTCTTGCCCTTTGTCTGAGCCAGGTACTTGAAGTGGCTGAAGGGGGAGAGATGAGATGTTCTCATTATGTCCCCTTCTTAGATCTTATCCCTTCAACCAGCCACTCATTCTCCCTGATCACATGGCCAACTGAACCACGGTGACAGAAATCAAGAGTGCAGAATAATGCGGAGACAGATATTTCAGTTCCAGAAGCAGTAGAGTGCTAGAAAGATAGCAGAATGGCACTTCGGACACAGAGAGAAAGGAAGGGTGTAATACATCAATCCTGGTTACAGTTCTCAACCTTACTGCACTGATTCCACTTTTCAGTTATCTGGGATTTGAGGTGCTGAAAGAATGGGACAAGGACCCAGAGCTCTCAAAGCCTGGTCAGGCAACAGTTTGGATCAGAAAATCAACAATTCATCTATGGAAGCAATGCTATTACTCTTCCCTATGTCTCAGGTTTGAGGGGACAGCTGAAAGCTTTGCCTGGAAGACATCCCTAGACTGATTCTAAGGTCAGTGTATCATTTAATATAATAATTTCTATAATATCACACATGCCATATTTTAACTGGAAACATTTCCAATTGACAGCTTTTTAATGATTCCCTAATTTAACCCTAATTGGTCTATGCATTCACAGTCAGCAGGTGCTGGAGGAGGGGGAGCCATCTAAGACAGCATACTACCCTATCCTGCCCTCCAGCTAAAAGGAATCCTACTGCTATGAATAAACTTTTACCTCAAGCATATCAGTTATGATTTTCCTCAACATGTGACTGTTGTCTTTATGCTTCCAGGGATTCTGTTAATCCATGTTTCTCACACAATTCTCAGGAAAAAAAAGAGTTATCTACAGCATATACAAAGTTATATAGAAAAAAGTACAATCGTAATCTGCATATGGTACGGTAACATAGTAAGGAATAAGCCAAAATATAAATTCTAATTTACAGTTTTAAAAAGAACACTCATGCCAACATATTGAACTTACTGCAATCATGATTAAAAAAAAATCACAAGACACCAAAACTGGATTGAGGAAGGAAGAATTTATGGAATTTTGTGGAGGGGGCTGTGGTATGCTACCGAATATTTGTTTTTTGAAATGAAAATCATTTGATGACATATAATCTATTTGAGTTTGTTTCCAAGAAAACAAGTGAATACATTTAATTATGCTAGATGGAAACATAATTGCATGCACATGCAATCACAGAAAAGAGCTAATCCACTTGCCTCTCCTTGACAGATAATAATTTAGTGATGGACATATAAATCATTGCTGTGTTTACGTGTTTATATTTGGCAAGGCTGAATCCCTCCCTGGACACTAATCATTCCACTCTATCAAAGTCCTAAGAAAGGGGTTACATGTGCCACCCCTCCAGTTGGAGAGCAGCAGTGTTGGTTTACTAAAGAATAGGAGCTCCATACCAGGAACGGGTTTCTCTTACCACGATGGCTCATTAACATAAACAGATGCTCCCTTTCCACAGAAGCTGTTCAGTGTCAGTCCCATGTTCTATGATCCAAAGCAATTCTTTTCCAAACTTCAAGACTTTATTGCTTTTCATATCACAACCAAGGTATAAGGAAGGCTAGGGTACATACACCTGGACTGCTCTCCTAGGACTGTGTGGAGAGTTCCTGGGGAATTGCTTGTTTGTGGGAATGACAAGAATTGCCAAGTACAGCCTCATCCGGCATGCCCTGTGTGCTCAGACCCATGACTAGACCAGAAGGGCAGCCTAGCTTTCACTGCAGCACTTCTCAAGCTTGGCAGCACAGGAAACACCTTGGGAGCTTTCAAAAACCTCAGCATTGAGGCTGCCACTGGGACAATTAAATTGACCCTCTGCAGGTGGTGCCAGGGAACTAGTGATTGCAGGTGATTGCAGTGGGAAGTCAGGGCTGAAAACCAAGCTCTCACATCTGCATTTGCTTCAAACATGTGTCAAGAGGTTGCAAAGTAGGTAGTAAAAGCTGTGGACTAATTTATTATAAAGTCATTAGAGGGCTAATTCCCTGGCAAAAATTTCTTTGAGTATGTTAGACAAAGAAAAAAAAAAAACTTTCCATAGTAGCTCTATAAATTCTGAGATCCTGGTAAAGGCTTTCTGTTTGCTTGTGCATTTTTTGGTTTTTTTGTTTTGTTTTTTTGTAGTAGGTCGTACATGCATGGTAAGCAAAGGGCTTTGCAGTCAGATGGCCTGAAAAAAATCCCAGCTCTATTGCTTGTATGCTTTGTTACAAGGCCACCAAAGTTAGTATTCTTATACCGCATTTCCCTGTTCCCTGCCCACCTATAAAATAGTACTTTACATGAGACAATTCGCAGAAAGCACTCAGAGAGTTTCTGACACATATGGTAGCACTCAGCGTTCACTAGGTATTTATTAGCAATTTTTTGGTAAAAAAAAAAATAAGCTAGAGCTATACATTAAGTTAGAAATATATGTATACTCTTACTTTGGTAATTGTGCTAAATCCTTATAAGTGATAACATTTGTACTATAATTACTTTAAACAAAACAGTGATCTACCTTTTTGCTTTAAGGTTCTAGGTAAATTTTCTTCAGCAAAGGGATTTTCAAATGCTTAAAATCCCTTGTATTAACCTAATTTACCTTTACTCCATAGATTAAAAAATATATCATTAGGGGCCGGGGATTTAGCTCAGCAGTGCCGCCACCTGCCTTGAAAGTGCAAGGTCCCAAATTCGATCCCAGGTACTATATATATATATATATATATGTTATTTCTCATGTGATCTGGGATTTGTTCTTAAAGTCTTTGCTTATTCCTATGTCCTGAAGAGTTCTGATTCTCTCTTTCAGCAGATTTAGTGTTTCTGTTTTAATATTTAGATTTTTGATCCATTTTGATTTTAGTTTAGTCCTTGATGAGAGACATGGGTCTAGTTTTAGTTTTTGACATGTGGAAAGCCAGTCTTTCCAGCACCACTTATTAAAGACGCTATCTTTCTTCCAGTGAATGTGTTTGGCCCCTTGTTAAAGATAAGGTAGCTGAGTGTGTTTGGGGTTCTTTCTGCATTTTCTAGTCTGTTCCATTGATCCTCAGGTCTGTTCTTTGCCAGCACTATGCAGCCTATTAAAAAGCTTTTGCACAGCAAAAGAAATCACCAACAGAGTGAACCCACAGAGTGGGAATACTTTTTTGCCAGTTGTTCCTCAGACAATGGACTATTATATAGAACATACAAAGAATTGAAAAAAAATCAGAACCCCCAAATTTAAAGACCAAATAAAAAAATGGGCATCTGAATTCTCAGATGAAGTACAAACAGCAAATAAGTATATGAAAAAATGTTCAACATCACTGGTCATTTGAGAGATGCAAATTAAAACAACGCTGAGATTCCATCTCACTGCAGAAAGCATGTTTATTATCAAGAAATCAACCAACAACAAATCCAGGCGGTGCTGTGGGGAAAAAGGAACCCTTCCCCACTGTTGGTGGGAGTACAGACTGGTGCAACCAATGTGGAAATCAATGTAGAGATTCCTCAAAAATCTAGGATTAGAGGTCTCATTTGATCTAACTATTCACCTTTTGGGTATCTTCCTGAAAGAATTAAAAGTATTGTACCACAATGATATACGCACACCCCTGTTTATTGTGGTACAGTTTGTAATAGGAATCTTGGAAACAGTCCAAATGCCCATCATCTGATTGTCAGGAGCAATGCTACATAATTTTAGGGAAAAATCATTTGGTTAGCCCAGTTCTCCTGCCTACAGCCCAGCTATGAAATTCCGAGACATCATTTTGGCCTCGGTCACAACTGAGACCTCAATGATCAGGTGATGCTGGGATTCTCCAGGACAAGAAACATCCTGGGAGCTGAAAACATCCTGGCAGGAACAAACATCTACTCAGTTCCTCCTTGTTCTTGGATTGTTACATCTTATTTACACGGATGTACTGAACTCTCTGCAAGTCATTTGTTAACATTTGTTTCTCCCAATGTACCGAATAAAAGGTGTAAGCTGGGGGCTTTTGTCTTTGCTGCCCAGAGCAGCGCTGATCAGACCCATAGCTCAGCTTCTTCTCAGTCTCATTTTTCTACCTTTCCTGTAATTCGCCGTGTGCTGCCGTGGCTCACAGGAGACCAGGACTCACTGCAGAGGTGCTGGTAATGTCCCCTTGCCCTGTTCCCTATGTCTGATGAAGAGATAAAAAAGATCTGTTTTTTAAAAAAATACAATGGAGTACTACTCAGACATAAAGAAGAATAAATTTGAGACATTTTTATGGCTAAGTGGATACACCTTGAGACTATATTCTTAAGTGAAATAAACTGGACACATGTATAAATATCACATTGTCTCTTTGATGTGAGAAACAAAGTGTAATAAGGACCAAAATGTATAATAGGCAATATGAAATAGGAATTGTTCAAAAGGAAAGGGGAACTAGGGAGGGGGAAGGGGGAAAAGAAGGAATGGAAAAGAAAAAAATAGGTAAAAATGGAAACAAAGCTTTTGTAAATGAGGGGAAGAGAGGTTGAAGGAAGGGGAGGGGATTGGGAATAAAAGAGGAATCAAGATATACCATGTATAGGTACAAATTCCCTATGATGAATGTGATCATTCTATGATGAATGTATATCTAAATTTTACCAATAAAATTAATAAAAAAATAAAAAATACATCATTGAAAATACATGGGGCAACACAATCTTCGGTCTGAAGCCTTTCTGGTTGGGTAATTAGATGGATGCCTATTGTAAATATGGAGAAAGATACATAGTCAAGGTTTTGGCTTTCACATAGTTCACAAAGCATTTGTATTTGGCACTGTCCTTAGGAAACTTGGTTGACTGTGATAATGATGTTGATAAGACTTTTCTTAGTCACAAACTTGAACTGAAATAAAACACTGGTAGGACTTGACTAGCATAGGTGCTAAAGATGGCCTTGAATCTTCAGCAACTTTACAAGGTTTAATATTCAGGGAAAAAATCTGATGTTTAATTCTGGTGGGAATATCCTCCTTCAGCTGTCCACCATAATTTCAGTGCAGAGAGAAATATAATTTATTGTTATTACATTGGCTAGTGATTGGAAACATAGTACCAGTATACAAATTAGAGCCTCTAATTCTAAAGTAATTATCAGCCAATTTGAGTTGTTAACAAGATTAAAATTGTGAATATATTATGTGATTCACCCTCACAAATCAAATTTTGATTAGATAATACTACAAGTTAATATGTATGCTATTCAGATTTCTTAAAAGGCTTTTTAGTATAAAAATTTTGATAGAAATTTTCAATAATGTATGCAGAGTTAGAGAGAATGCATGATTGATGGTTTTTCCTTATAAACCTTATTAAAGGTCCTGATTTGGTTGGTATCCAACTGCTTTGGCTTAGAATTAGGAATTCTAGTTTTGATGAAAGCTCATATGCATTGATTAGAAAAACATCTCACAGAACTATTAAGAAAGCAAGTTAATCACTAGAAATGTAGTAATGAATGGAACAATATTGCAGACCAGAAGTTTTTGTAGATTCTGCTTTTCAGTGTATTATAGGTTACATGCCCTTAAATATGCACCAGTGATAGAACCTATATAAGGACATTTTGACCTATTTATTCCATGTAGGCCATATTTGATTCGGCCTGAAAGTATAATCCTTCTATCAGTAACATCCAGTGGTGTGAATGCAGAAGCTTAGGAGGGTGTCAGGTAATTGGGATGAATTTCTAATGTCTGAAGGGCTTCATTTGTATGGGCTTTGGACTATATAT